TATTGAATTCCTGTTTTGGTTATGATGTTTTATAAGTAATCAGGTGTTAGAAACAAATTTTCTATAGTGTTGGAGAGAGTACCACGTTTAGCATAGAAAGCACTGTGGTACTGAGTGTGGTGTATTTTAGCTCCCTGTAAAAAATTAAAGGTCCTCTATGTCATGTACTTTCTGCCTTTCTTCAATATTTTCCTACACAACTGAGAAATAGTGAGGGAAATGCAGTATCAATGAGCTTTATTTTCCACTGCTTTACCACTGTCTAAGATTTTGTTATAATGTCCTTTTTAACTACATTGAGGTAGCATAAACATTGATGAATTAATAGTTTGTAATTTTAAACTAGCATTATATTCTGTGCCTTCTGTATAGTATTCTTCCTGTGCACTACTTTGCAGAAGAATGCAAGCTTCAGAGAATAAAACCACAGAAAAGGCAGAACCATTCTACAGGCTTTCAGTGCCAAAGCAGAAGACCAGTTCTGAGATTATAAATGAAGCCAGAAATGTTCTACGAACAGTAAGAACTTGGAGACCATTTACACCTACAGAGGATCAAAGGAAACTTTTTGGACCTGGATCCTCACGACCTCTTCAAAATAGACCCCCTTCAGTTTTTAGGTACTGTGGCTTTAAGATTTTTTTCAAATATCCTTTAGTGGCAAGAGATTTGATTCTGTAATTATGTTTCCAGTGATATTTTTTCCCTGTGTTAATCTGTATTCCTAATCACATCTTTTGCGTTCTTCGAATGATCCTTACTGTTGGTGTTAATCTACATGTCCAGGAAGTTCCTGTGGATTAGAGCTACTAGATGCAGTCATTACACTAGTTTTGTATGTGGAGAATAGTATAGGAAAATGGTCTGTAACTCACCTTTTCTCTTAAGACAATGTATGCTTTTAATTGAGATATTTTCCCTAGAAACTGTGAAAGATGGTTTTATTTCCACGTAAACTGTATGCTAGATCTTTTTTCAGAGCTTTCTCAGATCTTTTAAAATACAAAATTGTAGGTCTTGGAGTTTGAAATGCTCATTTTTAAACAAAATTTATACTACTTCAGAATTATTTCTGTGTGGAGTTTTGTTACCTAGCAAAATTCACAGAGCTCAATAGATCTGTCTTTTTTGACAAAAGAGGAAAAAAAGTATATTGGGCTTTTTACATCCATTTTCCAGGTAATTTTTTAGCTCTCCTTGTATGCCAATTCTGTAATGACTGTAGGGAGGAGATATGAGCTGTATGTGTAATGTTAGGTGTCAGGCATGCCAGAAAGGATGCTGAAACATGTTTGAATGACCTTACAAGTAAGTCAGTGTCCATGCTGTTTTCATGGAAGCATGACTTCAGGCACTCTGTGTATCAGATATTCCTTACTGCATGGTGGTGTGCCCTTAGAACTACTTACAGGAGCCTGAGAGTGACTTGACTGTTTGTTGGTGACCAGGTAATGAGGCCACTCTGGCTGACATCCATGCTTGTTCTGTCTGCTTCTCCTATGTATGGGAAGGGGCATACTCATGCCTGCGCAAACTTGGGTTTTCTGCCCTGTGCTGTTCTGCAGCTTGTGTCAGAAAACTTGGGCACTAACCACAGTTGGGTTTGTGCATGAATTTAGGCTTATGTTAGAGAATTGTTATACATGTGTATGAAATAAATTGTATCATGGCAGGTGTGCAGATGATGTTGTAGTTCTTCTCCCTTGATGCTGCTGAATTCCCAGATATGAAAGTTAAATAACATTCATGGAAAAAGTGATGGTGTAGAATTGCTCTGCCACTCTTCCTTTCATCCTCATTTTCCCATGTTCATTGGCAAAGGGAAGAAGTATGCAGTTAAAAAAAAAAAACACCTCAAAACAAACCAACCACAAAACACTGTCTGCTTTATTCATACTTTGTTTAATTTCCTTATGCTAGTCTTCATGCATCCAGTTTTGATTTGCCTGAATCAAGACCAGTGTCTGGTGTTCGTCTTAGCCCACTGGATCATGTGAGTACTCTGGAAATAACTCTACAATACTGCAATACTGACATAAAAACGTCTGTATCGTAGTGTTAGGAAAAGATATAGTTTAAATAGGTTGGGGAGAAATGGAAGCCTGTTGTAAAGTTATTCTGAGACTTATAAAGTTAGTTTTGTCATTTTTTCCCCCAAATAAGCCTGAAAATAATTTAAACTATTTAAATATTGCTATATTGCATTATAATTCTAAGTGACATTAACAAGAATCAGAAGACAGACACTTGAGTCAGCTTTCTTGTGTAAGACTACTAAAATAGAAAAAGTCAACATGAGCCAACAATGTGCTCTTGCTGCTAAGAAGGTGGTTAATGGTATCCTGGGCTGCATTAGGAAGAGTGTTGCCAGCAGGTTGAGGGAGGCGATCCTTCCCCTCTACTCAGTATTGATAGGGCCATACATGGAGTGCTAGGTCCCGTTCTGGGCTCCCCAGTACGAGAGAGACATGGAGCAACTGGAGAGACTCCAGAAGGGCCACAAAGATGATGAAGGGACTGGACTGTCTCTCCTGTGAGGAAAGGCTGAGAGAGCTGCGACTGTTCAGCCTGGAGAAGAGAAAGCTTAGGGTGATCTTATCAATCTATATAAATACTTGAAGGGAGGGTACAAAGGGGGCAGTTTCAGGCTCTTTGTAGTGACAGGACCAGGGAAAGTGGGCACAAACTGAAACAGAGGAGATTCCCTCTGAACTTAGGAAACACTTTTTCCACTGTGAGGGTGATGGAGCACTGGCACAGGTTGCCAGGGAGGTTGTAGAATCTCCATCCTTGGAGATCTTCAAAACCTGTCTGGACGTGGTCCTGGGCAGCTGGCTCTAGGTGGCCCTTCTTGAGCAGGGGAGTTGGGCAAGATGACCTCGAGAGGTCCCAGTGAACCTCAGCCATTCTGTGGTTCTGTGATTAATAACTTGTAAGTAACTAGGTTGACTGTACTTTCTATTTGACTTGCGCATCTGTAAAATGTAATGATTGTATTTTATTTAAAAAACAGGTAGAGGTACTTGTAAGAACTCCTTTTTCCCCTCTGTGAAAATTTTGAATTGTTTTCAATTTATAAGTGTATCTGCTCTTTCAGGTTTTTTATATTTAACCTTTTAAATATAAGATTAAGTCATGATCATTTTTTAGTACCTGAGAGAACAGAGCATGCTAAAACAGTTAAGTATGCTTGCTGTATATATCGTTTCTTCAAGACAGTCATCTAAATGTAGCATTCTTTAGGAAATTAGGGGCAAAAATTCCAATAAATGTTACACTTAAGTAATTTTGATAAGTTAATGTATTTATAAGAATTAAATTTAAAAATTCTAACCATACTTATAGTTAGACTAAATATATCTACAATTGGATTTAAATACGGGTATTAAGTTTTCATTTATCTTGTGTGAGAGTGGAAGAAAAACCTAGAGAAAACTACTGTTAAGACCAGGGCAAAACCTGCCTTTTCTGCTTTACCAAGGGAAAAAAGTTAATACATTGTCAATGTAGAGCTTGTATTAGTCATGGTGGTTGTGGGGAGTGGGTCTCACCTCTTGGGTATCTTCAGCTAATACTGGGGAGAGCTCTGAAGGATTAGACTGGAGACTTTCTAATGGATCCTTTATTGTAAGGAAACTGGAGACAACCTTGGTGAAATGCGTTTATGTAGGGTGCAACAAGTGTTTTGTACCGGAGGTTCAGGGGGTTGGTGACATCCTCTAAGATGCAAGATACTGACATAAATAAAACTAGAACTTGCATGTTTCTGGATCAGCATGGTTTGTCTCAGTGTGATAGGAAGTGGTACATATGATATGAACACATTTGAACTGTTTGGGAAATACTACTTTAGTGATCAAAAACAAATCATAAAGGATAGATGTGCCTCTAGAATTGTTAGCGCAAGTCTTTGGCACAACATTTTTTTTTTTTTTTTTTTTTTACAATAGTCATACTGCAGATGATGTTAAATGAGTATTTATGAGGGAAATAAATAATTCTGAGTTTCAGTTGCTCTACTTAAGCTAATTTTTGTTTGTTTTCTCATGTTTGCACCCCTGAATGTTTGCTTTTAAATGGCTTTCTGTGGTCGTAATGGTATAGATATCTGGCTCGTTCAGTGGAATGGTATTATTATATTCCGGATATGAAAATGAAAATTTCTTAATGAGCAAATCTATGAAACTTTTATCTATTTGATTCTGAACTTAACCCTTTGTATAAATAATTTGGCTTTCTTTTCATATAATTTTTGCTTATATGAAAATGAAATTATCTGTGCTTGAATTAAAATGTCTTCTTTATCTTTGTCACAGAGGCCAATACTGGTCACTTTTGCAAAAGATGACGATTCTTCCATTTCCTTTCCAAAGCCTCCTGCCGATGCTGCAGAGGTTAGAAAAGTCAGCAGTGCTCGGGCACGGTTATTTAGAAGAACTTCTCAGGGAAATTTCCTTTCTGCTAAAATGGTTCCTCCCAATCAGAGTAAGAATGTTTTGATACATGTTATTTCCTAGAAAAATAACTGCATGATGGGTTTTAATGCCATTAATTACATGAATTATTATATTATATTATATTAAAGGACCTGCATGTCCTTTCAGGGTAAATTTAAAAAATATTTAAATGGCTTTAAGGCAGTTTTGAAAATGTGATTTCCAAAAATGATACTGGCGTTCATTTCTGAAAGTGAGTTGAAATCTACTCAAGTGCCTTTTTTTCCTATAGATTTCTAAGTAATGGAATTTTTACTGAAAGTTTTCTTTAATAGGTAAAATGAACATTAAATACTCAAATGTTTAAAGAGATTAGGAGATTCTATGATAGATTATTGAGCATAAAAGGAAGAATAAAAAGGAATGATATGTCTTGATAGGCCTCCAACTAGATCATGTTTGTTGTTAAGAGTTTAATTAGTGGAAACTTAATAAAGGTCACTGAATGTGGGATTTAAAAGTAATTTTCTTGCAGATGGGAAATGACTTGACATCTTGGTTTCCTGCACATTAGTTTATAATAAAACATGCTGGAACTTTGTCTTTAATGAAGACTCATTTGTAATAAAGATGTTCTTACATTGCCTGGGATTGTTACTTTACTGAATATCTCACTTGTTACATCATTGCAAAATAAGTCTTATAGAAAAAGTACTGAACTTTACTTCATTATTATGTACATATTCTATAAATATATATTTATATCATGTACCCCTATATGTAGTTTAATCCATTAGCCTTAATAATTTGATGTTAATAATTAGAGAAGTTGAGGACCTAATGTAGTTATAGCCCAAGTTTCCCTCTTCTCCACTTTGGGGATCATGCAAATGTTCACATACGGTTTTTGTGCAGGTTCTTATCATGTGTACATAAAAAGATAGAAGATTAACAGCTGCCTTTTGCTTGAGTTCCTTCATACTATTCAGATTCTGAAATATAATCACTTATTATCACTTATTATTACTGCAGAGGGATCTGGACAGGCTGGATC